ATTCTCCTGCCTCAGCCTCCCGAGTAGCTGGGATTACAGGCATGCACCACCAGGCCTGGCTAATTTTGTATTTTTAAGACAGATGGGGTTTCACCATGTTGGTCAGGCTGGTCTCAAACTCCTTACGTCAGGTGATCCACCCGCCTCAGCCTCCCAAAGTGCTGGGATTACAGCTGTGAGCCACCGTGCCTGGCCCCATTGTGTTGTTTATTAAAGTTTGTGAGAACAATACCAGAATTAAAGCACCACAAAACATACAGCAAAAAGTGTACATGCAATGCAAAATCATCTGAAAAATGTCAGAAGATAAATTCATGCCCTATTCCTGACATTGTGCATGTGGCTGAGCATTGCTTAGTCTTGCTTTAATTAGCTAAAATTCTAAGGAGTCTGATATGACTAGTTGAAAGAAAATTATCAATTTAGCATCAAATTTTTATTTATACTAGACTCAACGATATCTTCATATCCAAGTGTCTTCTATTTAGTATTTTTGAGTGCTTCCAAATTTTTTTTTGTAGGCTGCAGTGAATGCCTTTGAACATTTATCTATCTTCATGTATTTGCATTTCCATAGGATAATTTTTAGATGTATAATTACTATGTCAAAGGGGATATAAGTAAAATAATGTCAGTTTGCCTCCAAAAGAATGTCGTAATTTACACTCCAATAGCATTAAAAGAAAGCTCATATGTCAGGAACCGTCTCATAATCATCTTTTTATTAGCATCTATTCCAGTCCCCTGCTCACTAGCGATTTTTCATATAGTAGTAAACAATGTTTTAAAATATTAATTTGAACTTAGTGGCTTTAAACCTGGATAATTTTCCTCTCACAATTCTGTGGTCCATGATGTACAAGAAGATTCCATTTATCAGTACAGCATTGAAATCATCTTCAAGCTTATATACTCCCACCTAGCCTTGTGCTGCTAACCCAAAGGGTATTTGTGTAAATAGAGAAATATTTATTTTTTTTAAAGATGGGGGTCTCACTATGTTGCCCTGATCTTGAAATCCTGGCCTCAAGTGATCCTTCTACCTCAGCCTCTGGAGTAGCTGGGACTACATGCACAAGCCACTGCACCCAGCTGTTGGAGCATTTTAGTAGCCTGAAGATAATTGGAATCTTATCATTGGAAAAAATAAATAGTTTGAGTCTAGCAGTGAGTTGTGCTTGCTACCCCTGTGGAGACAGATTGGAGTAGCAGCTCACTGGAGGTTTCTCACGAAGCCTGGGGGCCCAAGGCTGGTACTTGCTACTTTGATTTAAACCAAGCCC